GGTCTGCTCCTTGAAAAGAGTGAAGGCGTGGTAAAAGAAGAGGGTTAAAATTTTTGAGACGGAATGTACCCAAAGAGGCTCATGTGGCTTGCTAGCCACAGTTTGCCGACCCCTGATATAGACGATGATGAGGGTTGGTTAAGATGTACATATAGCCGTTAAGAGCTGGCTCAAGAGTTTGAGCTCTGCACAACAGCTATTCGATGCCCTGCCCGAGCTGAGCTGCCAGCAGGTAGCAGGATGGCTCAGCTAAAATTAATAATAATAATAATAATCTTGGATCTAAAGCAAGTAAAGGAGAAAGGATAGGAAATGCCAACGACGTGCCCACCTACGTGGTTTCATGTGAAAGAGAGAGAGGGGCACCAAAAGCAGGCCCACCTCCGCGATTTTACTGAGAAAGAAAAGCAATAGTTTTTTTATGTTAGAGACTCCTTGAGAGAGAAATGCCTCAGAATCATACCCTCTTCCTGCTTTCCGTGCATGTTAACCACCTACCTACCTCCTCTGGGTTCACGAGCTTCAAATGCAGGGCAGGATTTATAAATGCAAAATAATAACTATATTTCTTATTTTATTAATATCAGCAATTATGATTTATAATATCAATAACTTAATATTATAATAAATATTATTTTTAAGTTTCTTGGAACTCTTTTTTCTCTTCTAGCACTTCATTGGCTCCCAATTAGCCAATAGTCATAGAGCACTTAGCATGTGGCAGAACCTTGGGGGAAGCACTGCCCACAGGAGAGTTTTCAAGGAGTTGCTTCCCAGGTCCTTTAATCGTGACACTCAAAACCCTAAGATTTCTTGTTAATGTGAAATTCTTTAATAAATGCTTCTATCATCAACCTTTCTGACATTCTGTATCCCTAAACTTGTTTAATTATTAATTTTGAAACTGTATTCATTATCTCCTTTCATCTCATTTAATCCTTACAATGACCCTGCTAAGGAAGGCATGACTGTTTTTTCCTTTTGGTTTCCAGATGAAGAAACTAAGGCTTACATAGATAAAAAGTCTCTAGCCCAATTTCAAATGGCTAGTAAGTGGCAAATCGGGATTCACACACAAGATTGTTTCCTTCTACAACCAAAGCATCATGAGCCGCTATGCTCTTCTGCCTCATTTCAAAGTGATTTTCTTGATATATTTCTTCCATTTATATTTGGACTTGTGCCCTTGTCTTATGCTGACTATTAAGTGCATAAAGTACTTGGGCCAACTAACTCCTGCTTTCTAAGGATGGGCAAACAGCCTTGGTTTTCAGAAAATCCCAAATCTGAAGCCAAGGGCCATGTGTATTTTGCATCTTTATAAGGTGCATTCTGCAGCATGTTTTTCATTTTACATTGAATTCATTCCTCTTCCAGGATTATGACCTTATGGTCAGAATGTGCAAGAAGTTCCTAACACATTAAATTAAATCCAGAGCCAAGTTAAATACTCAAATATAGTAATCATTTTACTTTAGGTTCCCTTAAGAAATATTTTTTCTTCTCTATATATTGAGTGTATCCTATTTTCCAAGCAGTGTGCTAGATAGTTGGAAAACAGTTAATTAAGGTTATCTTCATAGGCTGGCATGTAGGATATATGTATATTTATGTAGCTATGTCAACAGTTGATAAAAGCTCGAGAATTTTGCAAGACAGCTGCTTGAAATCAACATTAGCATTTTTACACCACAAAACCTAATGCTACAAATCAGGTTTGTTTTTTTGTTGCTGTTTGCTTCTTTTTTTTTTCCTTTGTAAGGAAGAGGAGAAAATGAGACCACTGATTTAGAAAGCCTCTGTTTCTGTTAAAGAGTTAAGATCATACACTGAGAATGGAGGGTAATGTGGATCAGGTAGGTGATTGAAGAGAGTAGAAATATTTTGGAACTGCTGTTGAGAAAAATAAGAGAAGAGGCTGAGACCAAGGGAGAATATTGCAGTTGTTTTGTGTATATAGACAATTGTTTGGAAGAAATACTAAAATTGTCAATCACCATATAAATGTGATGAAATTATGAATTTCACATGGCATTTATATGTTTTGGGTAATAAAAATTAAAGAAAAAGTAAGAGTTCTAATTGGCGGCCCCATTAAATTATATAGAAGAGAATCATATGTGATAAGTTTGCCTCTGTTTAAAGTTGAATGCTCTTGCAGTTTTGTTGTTCATAACTGTATTGATTGATCTGTCAATTAAGTGTTTTTAAAAATAACAATGATGCATTTCATTTGTATAATGTATTATACTTTATAAACTGTTTTCACTGTACATTGTCTCTTTTGATTTCATTTATATTTTATCTCTGGTTGACATATTTCTATATTTAAATGATGCTACTTGAACTTCTAGCAGACACTTTGAAGGAAGACTCATATAAATGCAAATTTATCTCTGATGACTTTGAGATAAACAGAATGAGCCTGAAGAAAAATAATAAACCCAAAGGGCTGGAAATTCAAATTATAGCTATTTAAGAGAGAGTTTTATTTTTTAAAAGTAGGGTGAGATATATGGATTTGTTATCCAGTAGGGCAATGGTAAGTACTTATAGATGGGTGACAAAAATTAATTATGAATTTGTCTCTGTATCTCTGAACTAAACAGATCTAAGTTGAATCATTTTCCTCAAATCAAAAATCTAAAAGAACTGTTAAAAAGTTACATTTTTAAAATAGAAATAATAGGTAAAAGGCTTAAAGTTAAGTTTCTGTTAACCTATTCTCCAAGATAGATGATTTCGATTTATGGGTCTGTTGTCTGTACAAGTTAGAGATCTTCTATCCCAACATCAAGAGCATTGGCAAAGTATTTCAAAGTGATTGTCATGCTTTCCTAATTAATTCTTTATAAGAATTCAAGAGGCAGATGTTAAGTTCAGAGATTTGATTCCTTTGGATGAAAAATCTCTTGACATTCCAGCCATGAATTTGGTAGTTATTACTTGAATGAGCACTTATTATGTGGGTGGTTGTCAGTTTTCTCTTCCTAAATTTAGAAAAAAATAATCCAAAATATTAATATAACAATGATGCATTGTTATATTACTCTTGGGGACTTGAACACTCTTTCCTAGAGCCTTTGGTAGCACTAATTATCACAACAGTGGTTGTTTAGGAAATTTAGAGGGAGTCAGAATTTTAGGGTAACCCTTAGAACATTCTTAGGATGGGCCTTACAAACCAAATATTTGGGGTTTTGAATCTTGCAGGAAACTTTTCAAGCCATCACTGTCTTTTCTGTTTAATGAATATTCCAATACTTGTAGTAAAATCTGCCTGTTGAATATTTGCAACTAGTATTTAGTCTAGCCTAATCTAATGTTGCCTTGTAAGAATTATGTACTGTGGAGTTAAGTCATTATTGATAAATTACAACATGCCTAATTGCTTAAAGGTACATAATGTACAAATGTATAGCTGTTCTAGAGCATAATTTAACAGATGACCAAGGCATTTTTAGAATGGCAAATTACCTTAAATGAAATGCATTCATTTTGAGTATTGTTTTTAAAAATGTGATTTGTCCTCAAAGTTTTTTTTAAAAGAAGGTAAAGACAGAATTGGCCCTTTCTACCATTAGAAGATTAATCTCTTTTAACTTCTAATTACACCTTGATTATTATGAATGTATTTTTTCCACTTTAGGGAACATATGTGATACTTTCAAATAAATACAGATTTTCACTTAATCACTGCTGTCAAATTGTATATGAATATATAAAAATGAAAGTTAATAGTTGACCTTTTCTCTTTTGTCTTAGCTTCTATACTTACATTGGCTTAAAATTCACAGAATTAGGTTCAAAGATCCATTGAGGCTGTCCTTTGTGATAGGAATTATACAGAAAAATTATCCCATTTAATCTCTAAACATTTTGAGATATTATTATGTCTATTTTCAGAAATATATTTCAAAAAATTAATACAAGTTGGGAATACCTACAGTGATGTGGATGAATATTAGAACAATTACTAGCTATGAACACAAGTTTTGTTTTGTTTTATTTACTATATTCAATTACCTTTGTTTCAAAAAATTGTTTGCTTTCAGCAGTGGCACTTCCTACAGACACTGGTATGTGGGCTTTTGTCTTCTCACTTCAAATTCAGTAAGGAACCATGAGAGTGAAATCATGGTTCACTATTTACTTGTGTGATATTGATCAACCCAAAGGCCAGAGAGAGCTTCGAGAGTATCTTCCCAGTAGTTGGGGAAGATGAGAGGAGCAAGAATGGGTTTTTGGAAATCCTTCACTGCCAGAAGGATTTCTGTTATAAACAGAAATGCCCAGAAAGTCAAGACCAGTCATACAAAAAAAGCAGTGTCCTTGAAATCAAAAGGATTTTGAGTGGAAAGTGAGAATTTAGCCTATTCAAAACTATGGCCGTATTACAGAATGAAAGTTCGAGGCTGTGGCCTGTCAGATACTTTAGAGGTCATCTTTTATTCCAAGTAAAATCTTACTCTATAATAGTGCTGGTATACATTTTATAAGGAAAATTTAATCATTTAATTATGATTAAGGCCATCGATAAAAATAATTAGACACTTTGGATGAACACAAGTATTTTAAAAATATTGATTTTTGACTGAGATTTGTCACAGATATCCAACCTATTTCTCAATTTTGATTTGGTTATCTATTGAATAAATATGTGTGGTGTATAACACAGTTGATTTGGGTGTTCTTCTTCTTGTGTTTGAAATTTTTTTTTGAAAATTCAAACCAAATATTTGCAGAACCCCTGATTTAGTCCAGTGATACAAGTGGGAAAACTGAGGCTCACTGAGGTTCATTTACTTGCCAGGAACACAGGGCTAGTTCTGAATCTCAGCATAGTGACGTGTTCTCCTGTTATTTTCCAAAAAGCCCTCTGACTCCTCAGAATGAAAGCATTCATTCATTCTCATACTCCTCCTCCTTTTTTCTCCCTCTTGAGTCATCAAAAAGTAACTGCACATACATTTAAACCATCCCTGATGTTTCTATTTTAGGAGCAGCAGAAAAGAGTTCTAAGCATGGTGCCGAAGACAAGACTCAGACCATTATTACAGCTATGAAAGAAAGAATGAAGATCAGGGAGAAAAACAGGCCAGAGGTGTTTGAAGTAATTCAAGAAATGTTTCAGATTTCTAAAGAAGATTTTGTTCAGTACACAAAGGCAGCCAAACAGAGTGTACTAGATGGAACATCTAAGTGGTCAGCAAAAATAACCATTACAGGTAAAAATAAACCTTCTGTAAATTTTTTTTATCCTAGATTGAGATTTTTCTGTGCCTTGAAATCACTACTAAAAATATGATAGGTCAAACAAGTAGAATTTTCGATCTTGTCATTATTTACAAGAAGTCTAATTGGTACTTCAAATTTCTAAAATGTGTGCTACATAACTGAAGTAATTTCTTCTTCTATCTGTGTCTTGTTCTAATCAAACGCTCTTCCAGAGGAAGAAGCTTCTGTTTTACAAGACACCGATCAATATTCTGCAGTTTACAAGAGATTAGCTTTGTTGCTGCCTGCCACTGATAAATTACAAAAGTAGCCAATAATCTCTTCAGTTTGTTTTTTTAATAAGAAAATATTGCTTTACTTACTTCTGGATCAATATCCCTCATCCATTTGATCCTTGAGTCAAGACAATTTGAGTTCAGTGATGTCTAGCAAATTGAACTTCTGAAGTTGCTTATAATATTAACAATAAGAGCATATGCATCACGTGAAGGTTTACCAAGCCTCTTACTTTACTGATATTGTATTCACAAAGTAAAATAAAGATGCTTCATTTACTGGGTTGAGTGGATCAGTACTAACAGCAAACTCATAAATAAATAAACTTTAAATCACAGGTCTTTGAATTACATTGGGTAGCTTTTTGCATATTGCAAAAACTATACATGTATACAGCAATGTATATATAAGTATATAGCTAATATGTATATGTATGTTTATGTATGTAGCTACTATTAATTACAGGCAAAAGCATATTAGTCCAAAGGAAGGTTTTAATTTTCAGGGTATTGATTATTTTGGTAAGCATTGTTTAAAGTCCTATTGCACATGAGAATGAAAGTAATGGGGATTCATCTGCAAACCCAGGGGCAAAGTGATAGAAAATGTTTCCTTCATTATTATTTTTTGTTTCTGAGGAAATCATCATGTTAAAATGTTTATTTTGGTTATTTCAGTGGTTTCTGCACAAGGCTTGCAGGCAAAAGACAAAACAGGGTCGAGTGACCCATATGTTACAGTTCAAGTTGGAAAGAACAAAAGAAGGACAAAAACCATTTTTGGAAACTTGAATCCAGTATGGGATGAGAAGTTTTATTTGTAAGTATATAATGTGAAACTATTACAAATATTAAAATATCTGAATATAAATTTAAAACAAGCATGCAACATATATAAGCAATGATCACATCATTTTTATAGTATTCTTATATCTATACAAATTAGAAAAAGAATGAATCTAATGTTATGAACTCAATACTCATAATATTTATTTATTCTTCACCTTGGAAGCAAGTGAATAAAAAGAATACTTCAAACAACAAAAACAAAAAAAGGTGACATGTTTTCGGTGACTTTGCAGGGAAAAAAAAAAAAAGATTACAACCTGATCTACACTTGGGTTAGCCAACATAGCTAAGAATTAACAGGCTTGATTTAGCAATATCTTGACATCTAAGGATTTAGAACTGAAGACAATGAAAAGGCTGGGTATCACCTGGCCCATCACCTCAGTGGCAGCCTGTACTGATGGAATGGTTGATCATAGCTTGTGCAACTTCTCATTTCCTTTGAGGTCATTTGTTTTTCAATTTCTTATATCTTGGCCCCCAACAGCAAGAAATCATTTTTCTGTCAAGGGTTCTTTTCTTTCTATGACTCCTTCCTGGAGAGACATAAAATGACTTCCAATTATCACTTGTTAGAAATGAAAATCCCTAACCATGAATTTAAAGGCAGTCCTTTTTAATTTTTCTTTCCTGCGCTCTTTGTTAATGGTTTAAACACAGATCTCATTAACTCGCTAAGTAAGCAAGCTCAACTACATATAGCTTGTTTGGGAACGTGAGCAATAGTGTGTAATAGATACAGCGCTTCTTGCATATTTGGGCTGATGAGGAGGGAATGTAAAGCAATAGGTTTTGAAAATCATTGGGACCAAGTAACAGAGAATACCCTAGAATGAGTTAAGGGACTTGGGTGGTTTCTTCCTACAGGCTGGTGGAAGAAACTACTTTAGCATTTTTGTTAACAGAAGACAAGAAGTGAATCCATAGTCATGAATTCAGATCCCTAAGGCAGTTAAGTGAAAGACTGAAACAGGGTTAGGGGAGGGACAGGGACTGTGGCTAACCTGACAGCAAGTGACTCTTGGGAAAGAGACAGTTTCTCTTGCCAGGCGATCACGCAGATGCAACGCCGCGAGACCTCCCGTTTCTCAGAAGTTGGAGATTTGAAAGTTTAAAAACAACTTTATTAAGGTATAACTGGCAAAACATAAAATCTACATAGTTAAAGTGTATACTTTTTAAGTTTTTATGTATATATACCTCCATGAAACTGTCACCACAGACAAGATCCTGAACATACCCATTACCCAGCAAGGTTCTAAATGCCCCACTGAAGCCATCCCTCCTACCTCCTCCCAAACCAGGGCAATCACTGGTCTGCTTTATAATTATAGATAGTATTTTTCATTTTACATTTTCTAGAATTTTATACAAAGCATACAGAATGCACTCTCCTTTTGGGTGTTTCCACTCACTCAGTGGTTATTTTGAGATCTATCTATGTTGTACAGTTTAACAATAGCTCACTTCATTTTTTTCCTAGGTGGCATTTCATTGTATTAAAATATCACAGTTTGTTTATGCATTCAACTCTTGATATTTAGTTTGTTTCTAGTTTTTAGCTATTTAAAATAAAGCTGTTAGGAACACGTATGTATACATATTTGTATGGACATATATTTATATTTCTCAAATAAATACCTAAGAGTGGAATAGTTGGAACATGTATTTGGAATATGTCTAATTTTTAAGACACTCTTCCCAAGTGGTTGTACCATTTTCCATTTCACCACCAATGTATGGGATTTCTAGGTCACATACATCCTTCCAATACTTGATAAGATCAGTCTTTTAAATTTTAGCCATTCTAATATATACGTAGTAGTATCTTATATTGATATTATTTTACATTTCTCTAGTGACTAATTACTTCAAGCATCTTTCCATGTGCTTATGTGCTGTACTTTATCATTTTAATTAAGTGTTCAAGTATTTTACCCATTTTTATTATTTTTGTATTTCTATAAGTTTTCTAGCTTTATGTTTTACATTAAAGTTAGAGACCTAAGTTCATTATTTTGCATATGGATACCCAATGGTTCTTGTACCATTGTTTAAAAATACTATCCTTTCTCTACTAAGTTGCTTTTGCTCATTTAATATAATTCAGTTCTCCATATATGTGTGGAGAACTATTTTTGAATGATCTATTTTGTTCCATTGATCTATTTAGCTACCTGTATGCCAATACCACACAGTCTTGATTACTATATATAGCTTTACTCTATAAAATCAAAGTCAGGTAGTGTTAGTCTTCCAAATTTTTCTCTTTTTTCAAAGTTATTTTAGCTAATTTGGAACCTTTGAATTATTTCCATATGAATTTTAGAACCAGTTTATCACTTTTCACACACACAAAAAGAAAAGCCTAATATAATTTTGATTGCTTTATTGCCCTGGCTAAGACTTCCAGTATAATGCCAAGTTGAAGTGATAAAAGCAGGCATCCTGGCCTTGTTCCCAATCTTACATGGAAAACATTCTTGATTGACTATGATATTAGCTGTGAGTTTAGTGTAGATGCCATTTATCCAGTTAAGACAGCCAACTTCTAGTCCCAGTATGCTGAGAATTTTGATCAGAAATAGATATTATATTTTGCTTAATGCCTTTGTTGCACCTATTGACATGATCATGTGATTCTGAATGCCATTTTTAAAAATTTACTTTGAAGATATTTTTCCATTGTCTTTGTGTTTGCATTTTATTATTTTCAATGAAGAATCTATTGTTGTCCTCATTTTGTTCCTCTGTACATGTCTTTCTTTCCCCTCTACTTTTTAAGATTTTGTTTCACTCATTTGCACAATTTGATTATAATGTGACATGGTGTAGTTTTCTTTGTGTTACTGGTGCTTTGGTTTTGAGTTACTTGAGACTGTAGGTCTGTGGTTTTCTTCAAATTTGGAAAACTTTAGGCTGTTACTTCTTTCTATATTCTTTCTCCCACTACCTTTTGGAGACTCTATGTGTACATGTATTAGGTCTCTTGAAGTTGTCCCACAGCCCATTGATGATCTGGTTTTGGTTCTCTCCCTGTTTCACTCCCCCATCCCCTCCCTATCTCTCACCTTCTCTGTTTTACTTTTGATTATTATTATTGCTATGCATTTAAATTCACTTACCTTTACTTTTGTAATGTGTAATCTATTAATCCAAGCCACTGTGTTTTTCATCTCAATTATTTTAGTTTCTATCTCAGGAAGTTCACATTAGATCTATGCATCTCCCATGTCTCCACTTAACTGTTTTTTTAATTAAGATTTTATTTTTTAAAGATGTTTTAAGTTCACAGAAAAGTTAAGAGAAGGTGTAGTGAGTTCCAGAGGACCTCGTACCCCCACACATACATAGCCTCTCCTATTATCAACATGCCCCGCCAGAGTGGTGTGTTCGTTACAATTGATGCACCTACAAGTACATTGACACATCATTACCACTCAAAGTCCATAGTTTACATGACAGTTCACCCTTGGTGTTTTACATTCTATGGGTTTGGACAAAGGTGTAATGATAAATAGTCATCATTATGGTATCATACAGAGTAGTTTCACTGCCTTAAAAATCCTCTGTGCTCCACCTATTCATCCTGTCTCCCTCCCCAAACCTCTGACAACCATGGATTGTTTCACTATCTCCATAATTTTGCCTTTTCTAGAATGTTATATACAGTTGGCCCTTGAGCAATCGAGGGTAAGGAACGCTGAACCCACACAATAAAAAATCCGAGTATAACTTTCGACTCCACAGTTGGCCCTTTGCGTAAGCATATTCAACCAACAGTTGGGAATCAGTGTTTGGGAAACTGGTTGGAAATGTGAAAATACTGGTTTTGATCCATGATTGGTCGAACCTGCAGATGTGAAACCCACTAATAAGAAGGACCCACTGTGTTTATTGGAAAAAGATGCATATAAATGAACCCACATTGCTCAAACCCATGTTGTTCAAGGGTCAACTGTAGTTGGACTCATATAGTATGTAGCCTTTTCAGATTGGCTTTTTCCACTTAGTAATGTGCATTTAAGGTTTCTCCATATCTTTTCATGGCTTGATAAGTCATTTGTTTTTAGCACTGAATAATATCCCGTTGTCTGGATATACCAGTTTATCCATCCACCTACTAAAGAACAACTTCATTGCTTCCAAGTTTTGGCAATTATGAATAAAACTGCTATAAACATCCATATGCAGGTTTTTGTTTAGACATAAGTTTTCAACTTCTTTGGGTAAATGCCAAGAAGCATGATTGCAGGATCATATGGTAAGAGTATTTTTAGTTTTTTAAAAACTTCAAATTGTCATCCAAAGTGGCTGTACCGTTTTGCATTCTCACCAGCAATGAATAAGAGTTCATGTTGCTTCATATCCTCTCTAGCATTAGGTATTGTCAGTATTCTGGATTTTGCTCATTCTAATAGCCGTGTAGGGTTAGCTCATTGTTGTTTTAATTTGCATTTCCTGATGACATATCATGTGGAACATCTTTTCATATGCTTATTTTCCATCTACATATCTTCTTTGGTGAGGTATGCATTAAGGTTTTTGACTTATTTTTAATCAGGTTGTTTATTTTCTTGTTGTATGTTAAGAGTTCTTTGAATATTTTGGGTAACAGTCTTTTATCACAAGTGCCTTTTGAAAATATTTTCTCCATACATGTGACTTGTCTTCTCATTCCCTTGACATTATTTTTCTCTACTTTTTCAACACATGCAAAACTTTAATAACTGTTTTTGTAGTCCTTGACTGCCAATTTAAGCCTCTGTGTCCATTCTTGGTCAGTTTTAATTGATAAATTTGTCATTATGTGCTGTAGTTTTTTGCTACTTTTCATGTCTGATAATTTGATATTGGATGACACACATTAAAAATATCACCTTAATGGTCGCTAGATATTTTGTGGCATCCTATAAGTATTTTTGAGCTTTGTTCTGGGACAAAGTTACATGAAAATAGTTTGTTTTTTGG